TGGTGTATACTACAACATAATGGTATATCAGGTATTGATGGTGTATACTACAACATAATGGTATATCAGGTATTGATGGTGTATACTACAACATAATGGTATATCAGGTATTATTGGTGTACCCTACAACATAATGGTATATCAGGTATTGTTGGTGTATCATACAACATAACAGTATATCAGGTATTGATAGTGTACCCTACAACATAATGGTATATCAGGTATTGTTGATGTACCCTACAATCTAATTGCATGTCAGGTATTTTTGGTGTACCCTATACTAAAGCGGTTGTTACTTATATGAAAGTTTATGGCGAGATATGTCGGATATAGTTTTGTTTTATTTGATGTGATATGAACTATTTTTAACTGAAACGGTTCTCTTTATAATCGAAGAAAAACATATCCAAACTTGAAACTTTGTATTCAATCTCGCTAGAATTAATAAATAGATATATCATTTTTACAAATGTCACAGCCTAAAAGTTTCTCTGTCAAAATCGACATATATATCGAAATATTAGGTCTAACGAGGTATTTGAAGCAAGAACAATAATTCCTAGCATTCAGATAACAAATACAAACATTGAAATACCATAAAAAAGTGTAAATTGATTAAATGCTAATATTTAAACAAGATTATCCTTTTACAAAAATTAATATTCAATATCATCAGGATGGCTTTAAACAGAAAGTACATCAATTAAACACACAGATAACACTCTTAACTGACTTTAATACTAAAATTATGCAATTGCAATCATATCCCAAATGCCGTGAAAATGCATTGATGAACAGAAGAAATATTGGCCAGAAGGAATATACAACAGCGAGTAAAAGTACGGAAATCAAATAGCTTGCAGATCAAATATAAATATATTGCGTCCTAGCACACAGTCTTAAATAAAATAGTTTAAACAACACGAAGTTTCATTTCAAATTTTTAATACGTTTTGCATTTAGTTTTCAATAAAACGCATGGTTTAATTACAAGTCACAGGACATTATCTTCCGCTCTTAATATTACTCCAAACTAATAACATATGTCCTTCTGTGAAAATAGGCAAGATATTGTACTACTATCTAGCCATTGTATATATATATTGTGTTCAATAGAATATGTAATATGTATTAAGATAGAGATGTTGTATTAAAAACAGGAAAATAAGACATCTTTATCGTAATACTGGCATAAAATTAATCCAAAATAACGTTGCCTGGTTATTTTCGTTCTAAGAGTTACCTGGCGCTCTAGAAGTCTCAATATCTACGAGCACCCTGGTTTCATAGTGTTTGTAACAAATGTAAATCTCAACATTATTCATCCGTTGTTTAAACATCAGTCGATATATGACATTCGAGGTACAACCAGTGTATTACAAAATAGCGTGAAATCTGTACATATCCCTATAAATAACAAATACTTTTCTTAACCTTATGAAATTATCATATTCCACCTATTTTTTTTTTATTTGACGAGCACCAAATAATTTTATGTAGTAAGCAAATTCTTTGTGATTTAAAAAATAAAGAAAGTCCTGTGCAATATCTTTGAAGATTGTTGTTTGCACCGAGACTAAATGTATTGATATAGGAAGTTGTTGATACATATAGGAAAATGATATGCAACTGAGTTACTTCATAACACATGATAGAAAAAGTGTAAGTAACTGAACAGTCATCGTTTCAAGTATAAAATGATAATGATAAAAATAATACTTTAAAAGATATATAACAAATAAAAAAAATCAAGAAATATTGCTTCCATTAAAACATAAAAAATACTAAAATTAATTATGAATAAAACATCGTAAGGTGGATATTGAGAATACCTGATTATAGAAAAAGACAAAATAAAAACAGTAGAACAATGACCGTGAAGGAGAAAAAGGGTCAGAATGAAACATAACACAAACAATTAAATAGTTATCATTGATAATAATATAACTAGTATATAAAATACAGTAGGAATTACGATATGATTGTGACACGTCTGATAAAAGATGGCTTTCAGCCGGTTTTCAGCATTCAAATGCGCTATTAGCATGTTATTCTTGTTTTTGTATATCACTTAATATTCGGGAATACTTATCGTCCATGTTGTTCTCCAAAAGACATATTCTTGAATGACCAAAGGAAACGGTTGTTAAATTAACCTGAAATATTACATTAGCAATAACCTTTCACCATAATTTTACTCAGAAGTTTCGGGAAATGAAATACAAGTGCTTAACAGAAGTTTGACTATTGAGTTAACGCATTTTGTTACGGTATGAATAAAACAATGTATAATATATGAGTTATAAACCTTTTTGTTGAGTGAACTAGGGCCATAGGATGTATCTATGGATACAGAACGAGTCAATGTTCAACATTGGTGAAAAAACACATGATGCGTGAAAAGTCGTTGATTAATATGTTTGCTTGATGACGGTTATAGGTTAGTACAGAACTAGTAGGTATTATTTCGGCAGCATTTAAATTTTAAATGACTGGTCACATTTATGGAAAGCCTAAAGCTTAATTGATATTTAACAGGATTTATCTTGCCGATATTGAATTTTTTACCCGAAGGCTGCAGAAATTGAAACTTAACCATAGAAAATTGTTCAGTATAGAACATATGAACAATGTACTGAACAAGCACACAAATGCGTTCTGCCCTGTAGGAACAAGGCACTGTGGGTTGAGATATGGGAACGTCTTAGTGTTAAACAATATGGTACAGAGGACACTAACAGAGATATTTAATTGTTTTGCATTATGATAGAAGCAAAGTGAGCAGTGAATTTTATTTTTACAACACTCGTATCACATAATAGTAACGGGATTCTGCATAAGTGAGTGATGTTCATCGAAGACTTAAACAATACTAAGTAACAATCTCACCGTTTGTCCTAGTCATGACACGGACGTGGATTACATAATTCGAAGTCACCTTTTCACCAAAAAATAAGGCAGACGATAAACATAATTGATAAAAATTATCGAAGAAAAACTTAAAAACTAATCACCTGTATGGCCTGTACTTAAATTCATTCACATGCAAATGAAAAAGATATATAGGCACCGTGACATACTTCAAAACACGTCACTTTTAAAGCTTTTAATAGCATAAAAACAAGCACTATGTACACTTTCCATATTAAAAATCATGGAAAAAATACTTCAAATTAAAGAAAAACATTTTTTCAGTGACAAAACAGAAAAGCCTCTACAAAGTTATTCAACAACAGATTGTGTGCATCCGAAACACTAAACGTGCTAAAGAAAATCACTTAAAATATGCAATTATGAGCAAATTATCTGAACCAAAAAATATTTAAAGATAAAACAGTAATTGAGATCTTTGATTGATGAAAGTCTAAATAGAAATTTAAAATCAACAAAACAAAAATTAGTTTTTAAGCAAACTTTGAATAACAAAAAGCATCTGTGACTCGATCAAATCACGTAGAAACTCACGTAACACTATAAAGCAAGAATAAGTCCTCTACATCAGCGTTCCTTGTCCGCGATGTTCTCAGCTTAATTGCTTCCTTCGGCTGTCTTTAGCCGAGGGGACTATTGTTTTTTTTTTATATAATAGCTATATTTTCAATTATAGTATATCATTTCTATCTTCTTGTACAATATGATGTATATGTACATGTAACTGTTCTGTTTCACTGTGTCTTGATAAAGGAGCTGATCGCTTCGAAAATTTGACAACCTAAACTTGTCCACACTGTTGGAATTACTTCTATGCCCCAGATGATAGTATAGATATATACTTAACATAATTATACAGCAAGTACTGTAAACTAAAGAAATATAAATATATATAGGACTACATTATCAATAGGCTGATTGTAGCAAGTATTGAGCACTTTAGTTTGTCTTTATAGCCAATTGTTCACTCTGTGATGCAATTGGTTCCTACAACCGGTCACCAGGGCCCAGTTGTTCTAAAGGTGATTAGCTTAATTAGTGATTCGCACAAATTTCAATTTTTGTGTGATTTAAAAACGCAACAATTGAATTAATTATAACTTTTCAGATATCATTTATTTACTAGAGTGAATTTACATGCAAAATTGTGAGATTTTACCTTTTTTATTAACGGAATTATTAAAGGTTGATAAAATGTCGTTAAATAGTGATAAAGCTAACCTCCTTTTGAACAACTGGGCCCAGTACTTTAGAGACAGCTAAGTCTTGGGAAAAACCTACGGGCATCATTAATTTTACCAGAATCACCAGAATCTGACACATTGATACATGTAATGATATCAACTCTTTTAAGAAGGAAATATGATTTCTTTTCAATATTTTGATCGCCATCGAAAAAAAGGAATTATAAAAAGATTCTATAATTGACTAAGGAACTTTTCCTTTTATTTAGGAATTGATAGTTATATAAACCTTCTTACAGCTACGAGATTCAACCTTGCATACATTTCAATTATACATATAGCCCAATTAATCACCATGTAAATTCAAGTATGCAAATAACATCCACTCTTATATAGGAAATATAATACATTTATATGTATCGGTTCCCTTTACATAATCATGCGATTATTTTATTTTACGAGGATTTTAAAAGGTATCTTATGAAAACAAAGCAGATATGGGGTGCTACACGATCCCACGAGCCTTCATTTTTCACAGGCGTCCAGTCTCTATTTGAAAGGTTTCCAATCACAGACTAAATAGTCCGCAATCACTAATTTAGCCCCTTAATTCAAATTATGAAGTCTCACAGCGATGAATAGTGCCACACCATTGCTCAATTCACAGATGTCAAGTCACACGACCGATAAAGGTACTTCTTTTCATAGGTGTCTAGTCAAACAACGAGAAGGGTGATGCAAGACCCCTTGAAACAACGGGGGTCTAAAACAACGGGGGTCTACTATTTCTTTCTTTTCAACGGTGCCGGTTTTGCCTTGATGTCCCTACACTTAGGTATGTGCCGTTCTGCTGCTGATTCATTGTATCTGCGGTTGCAGTGAGGACACTGAACATAGTCTGCATTTTCTGCTGGAGGAGGGGGAGGTAAGTTACTAAGACTACCTCCCTCCTTCTGTACTTGGGCCACTTTTCTGGCATACCTTATGTTATTAACAAACTCCTCGTGTTGCTTCCTCCAGTTGCCCTTCTTTCCCTGAAATTATAACAACATAATTTTAATGTACACGATCATGCTGAATCGTAAGACAATCTTCAAAACATTTTCAGTAAATATTTATCACCATTTAATATGATCTTCTATCACATTTTTGCAAATCAAAAATAATCATCATTCAAGAACTGTTATTCGTTCATAATGTTTTTATTTACGTTTAGGAACTGTGAACTTTTTCTTATTTAAACCAAATGCGTTTAAAGCAAAGACTTTCTACAAACAATATAAACAGACATGAAAACTTACAGAAGGAGCCCGTCTTTTGGGGACACCATTCTTTCCTACATATTTCTCCATTTCCGTGCCTTCAATCCTCATCTTTGTGCCATCCAAAACTTTACGTTTCTTTGTGAGGTTACCACAGGACGCTCTGTGTTTGTCTATTCTGTCAGCATTGAACTTACGACCACAGTTAGAACATTTCACTTGTTTCATGTGTTCAGTATCGAAAGCACCTTCCATACGAGCAGCCTGCTCGAACAAACTCAGATTTCCACCTCGAGCAGACGGTAGGGGTTTGCTGTCATGAACGCTGTCGGAAGACATAGCTAAGGGATTTTGCTTTTGTGGGGGTCGGCGGTTGATTGGCTTGCGCGTTGGTTTCGGCTGTGGAGGTGGAGTAGGTTCTGCTCGGTAGCTTGACATGTGGGAAGAATATCCCTCGCTTCCATTATCTTGATATTGACTCTCGTATCTTGTACGTGACTGATCAAGTGCCTTGCGATGCTGTTCTGCTTTCTTCTTTGCTTCTTCTTCCATCTCTCTTCTCTCCTTTTCTTCCCTCCTCCGTTTTTCTTCATCTTCTTTCATTTTCTTTCGTCTCTCCTCTTCTTTCCTTTTACGCCTTTCTCTTTCTTTCCTTTCCTGCAAGCAAACAGTTTTTTTCCCAGTTTTCACTTATAAATATTAAAACCCCGTTAATGGCCTTAAATGTCTTTCCGTTTAGTAATTTAACTTTACTTCATGTATCTTATTAATTGAAAAAATACCATTATCTGTAACACTAAAAACATATAACATTTATGACATTTTAAAACAAAACCTATAGAAAAAGTATAATTTGATTTCAAATGAATATTTATATTTTGATGTTAAGCTTCCATTATTATTGCAGATTACTAATCAAAATCACTTGCACGGTATTCGTTTTGAATTTTTATAAATATCAAGGAAATCTGCCGAAATACGCAGGTACACATTAACCTGGCAGTGGTAGCAGTATCCACCTCCTTTCAACAACATTGATTCTATTTGTCATAGGTATAACAGACATACAAGAGAAAGATATGATATCATCCAAGACACATTGATTGTATAGGATTTTCTGTTAATTAAAATTCTCAAAATAGCAGAAGATAGTCCCAGTGATGCATCAGAAAGTAACGTTTTCTACAGACATTTGATTGGCTATCACAATCGCATGTCAACCTCTAATTCTGGCGTCAAAATGAACTTTATCATCAAAATTATATCATTACGTAGCAAAATTATATCATCAATACAGTGACAAGTGAAAAATGGGATTTTTCATTGATTGTTTTATATGTTCACTGTAATTACGATATAATATTGATTGAACTGGTAATTTCCAGACCTCCATGATACATATTGTAATAAAACTATGATATTGGTATCTGGCGCATACTTTTCTAATTTTAAAAGTTAATGTTTATAATTAGTTTGAACTGACCTCTTCCTCCTGTGCAGCTCGCTGTTTTCTGATTCGGTCAAGCTCTGCCTGTTGACGTGCAATTTTGTCCATGATCTCTTTCTGTTTTTTCTCAATATCCATTGATGTTTCCCGCTGTGTGTTTGCCTCAGATTCGTTCTCCTTCTCGTCTTCATACTCAAACCCGCCACCAATCCCCCGTTCTGGTGGCTGCTGGTGCCTCCTCAATCTATCGGCACGCTCCTGGTCCCTGTCTGACTGGAATTGTTGGAAGTCAGATATCTTTGTGGTCTTTGCTGCTGTTGCTTTAGGCGGGCGCCCTCCATAACCAAAGGCATTCACTTTCTGTCTCTGAGTATTTTTTATGTTGTTTAGATTCGGCGGCGGGCTGTCACCATGAGATAAATCATCAATAGGTGCACTTTTTGGCATTTGGTCTTCATATGCTGGCCTCTTCTCCGAGTCTTTTGTTCGTGGTCGACCATGAATTTGTGGTTTTCTTGGGAAAAAGTCATTTTCATGTGAATCTGTACGCTCTATTGGTGCTAGGGGGTTGGATTTATCTCGACCTGCACTGGACACTTTCTGGTATCTTTTCTTGTAACCATGCTGACCACCTGAGTTTTGTCGTTGATTACCTGGATATTGTTGTCTTTGGCTGTTGTTAAAACCAATCGAATTGTGTCTACTAAGTGTACTGTTTGGTGAGTTATAGTTAATGGGTGCCACAATTTCTTTTCGCTTCTGCTGATAATGCTGATTAATGGACGGCATATTATTCAAGTTGCCATTCGCTTCCATTTCACGTCGCTCTCGAAAGAATTCCCTTGCCATGCCTTTAGACTGGACACGGTTGAGCGCACGCTGTTGGTTATCTTGATACATATTAATGAGCTTTTCTTCTTTATCTTTCATCATCCGTTGTTGATACTGCATCTGCATCTGTTGTAAGCGGGATAGTTTTTGTTGACCCCCGTCCATGTTTGTCGGTTTGGCTTTGTTGGAATAGTCTGCGTTTTGGTATTGGGACGAGCCTCTATACACAGGCGAGCGGTCCAATACACTACTGCTGCTAATCATCTGGAGGGTAGGCACTGAAACAGAAACCTCGCAGTTTATAGCAAATACAGGAGACGCAATTAAAAGTGTTCACATACAAAAACACAGAATCGCGAAACATATTTGATGTTCACAATAGTCATCTCGACGGTGGTCAAACACACAATAGTAATGGTGACAAACTTGAAGCCACAAATACATTGAAATCCCATAAAGGTGTCTGAATTACCTGTTAATTACTTAATTACTGCTGACATACAATGTTTATTGAATAACTGAAAATTGAGTAATTGTCCCTTAAACCGTCCCATTCATTTGAATGTAATATAAACAAAGGTGAAACATGTAATTATAGCTGTTTTAATATACCTTAAACAAATGATTAACTGACCATGCTTTTCAGTACTACATTTGTAGTGACTTCATTCATTACGTTTTCAGTAAATGGCCATAAATAATAAGCCATCATGTTTTCACAACCTTTAAAAGTCATACCCCATTATTTTTATCATAATCATTAAAATAAAAATTGCAACACCTAATAGTTGTTCAATAATAGATAAAAAATTATATATAATTTATCGGAAGTTATAAAATAATCTTGTACTTCTTTCCTATATCTGATCATTTGATAACTATATGAAACTTGAAACAACTCAGCTCACAAGGGTATATTAGGACAAATAATTGAAAAAAACATCCATAAAACCACACCTTTTTATGTCTGGCACAGCAAGAATGAAACCTTTTAGTATATCATAATCAGTTATTTTTGGATAGATACAAAATAATACTGCACACCTGAAATAATGCATACCTGAAATTCAAATCTTGTTAAATACCCAAAAATTGAATATTTGCATAATGAAAAATATTTGGTATGTAAAAAAACTTTTGGGTATACAAAATTTGATCTTTGGTTATGTATGCAACAATATATGCAATTTGTCATTTTGATGCACTTACTGGCCATATTAATGCCTTTTAGTATAGCAAGCATCTACTCTTCTGAGGTTTAAATGACGTTCATGTGTTGTTTTTAGTTTTAATCTAGTAAAAAAGGTTTTCATTCATTTTATCAACAATTCATAATCAATTTTGAAAGTATGCATGCAATTGTAAAATATGTCCAAAACATTTATATGCTAATATGATCACAGCTACATGTTACTAGGGAGCACAAATACACATCAATTTCTTTCTTTTTTTGATATCTTATTTATCGTATTTTATTCTTTAAAATTACAGTACATCATGTATATCTTAATTAAGAAACTAGTCAGTAGAAAATATTTACTTTTCACAAGAGCAGGCCCTTAATGTGATATTTTTTTTCTCATGAAGAAAAGAAACATGAATAAAGTAAGGAAATTTAAATAAATTTATGAAACTCGTCACAAATTTGTCATTTTAGCTCGCCAGATGCTTGCGAAATTGAAAAATTCTTAGACTCGTTACATAAATCTCATATGAAATGGAAGCTCATGTAAGATCCTATATATCTACACATTTATTACTGATTCAGTGATTGTGAATTAATAGCATCATTAATTAATATCAATGTCTTATTTTTTATTTAATACAATGTACCGGTACACACCAGAAAATGTCATTGGTTTTATTCAGTCAATTAAAAGATATGCCCAGTTGATAATTGAGCATGAGTGTTGTATATAAAAAGAAGGAACCTGACATTATTCCAGTGTGCTAATCTAATGATACCAAAGCATTCACCAATAAGTACAATATATTGGAACACACAAACCAATCAATAATATATATACTATACCCACATAGTAGTGTAATGTCCAAACTCCATTGCAGTAATCCAAAAATGTTCTAAGTATGCAAATTACTTTAAGATGGATCAGTGTGTATATTTCATCTCAACGACTTTCCAAATATGACCATAATCCCAAGATATATCTACGTGTATGGTCCAACACTTTCAAATGCATTCAGTATAAGTAAACACAGCCTGCTAAATCTCAGTCTGCTTATCTACGTCAGGCAACGATGAATGATTGATATGTTTAGACTACTGTTGTGTAGAGAAAGCTTATCTAGCCAGTACTACATGCACATGCTCCAAGTCTCTGGAGAGATCATTAACATTTCAGAAATGGACATCAATGCTACAGAGGAAATTGATTCTGTGGTACTGGATTGTTTCAAGCGCCACTAAATACATCAATGATTCAGGGGTTCATGTATAGGCTAGTGTTGACTTGTTCAGAAGATTTTACGATCATCCTAGTAAACACTATTTTAACACCAGGCTAGCATGTATATGTATATCTGTAATATCTAGTTAAACTGAATAATGTATTCAAAAATCATCAGTATGTCTTGAAATGTGTTTATCTCAGAAACACTACAATCTAATGTAAAATGTGTTTTTTCTTGATTTATGCATCAATTTCTGTTAACTTCATTAACAAAAAATCTAATTATTCAAGCGATTTTGAAAAGGAGGCTTTAGTATTTTTAATTTGCAGTTAATACAGCTTTCATGAATATTCATCACCAATTAATGAAATTCCAAACTTTTAGGGAACAAATAGGAAAAAAATAGATAAGTAAACAAATATAAATCTGGCAGATAACAAGGGAGACATGTGTAATAATTGAATGGAAAAATCAACAATTACAAATACCTTAAAGGAATTCACTATTGAAAATAGTTACCAACATGGTTCGTGTTACCTTTTCTCATAACTTTTAATTTGTAATGTAAATGTGTGTTCAAATATATTTTTACCAACCCAAATATTTATTATCGTTAATTTAATTAAGATTTCTTTTTGAAAACATATAATTGCTTTTGTGAAACAATTAACCTTTTTTTTAATTCTTCCAATCATACACCTTTTACTTTTACTTTCTATAAGGGACGTATAACATTTGACATGTATGTATTTTTTATCAGGTGGCCTGTTATTGTTAATGGTTGGGCAAGATTTTCTATTTTTGTGTTGACAGATTGCTAAGACAATGAACAAATTAAACAAACAATCTTCTAGCGTAATTCGGTATTCTTGATACACATGTATAAGCTTAGTCATATTGATATTTACAAACTTAACATGCAAAATCAACTTGATGCATCTAATTCATTCAATGATCTAATATTACTTTAAGGTTTAAACTGTTTTTAAGGTTGGTTTAATGGTCTTTTTAGGCTTGTTTTATTTATACTTATTATAGCATCTGTGAGGGAAATGAACAACTACATACAGAAATATGGAAAATACACAATAACTGTATTGTTTGTAAATAAATCGGTAAGGAATAGACACTCTAAACTGATGTATATATCAATTGTTATAATATTATTTAAGAGCAAAAATTTGAACATGAAGAGCATGTTAATTTTAAAACATTGACTTCAGGCCTGGGCTAGTGGTTCAAGAACTGTTAGTTAATAAATGATGATTTTAATTGGGGATAAATCCTAAATATAATAGCTGTGCATCTCCCCTAAGATTGAATTACCAGATGTAAAGAGTGATTTTTTTTGTATATTTTTTCCTTTTAGGTTTACCTTAATCCCTTAACCCCTTTGCATTCTGTTTGCATTCATATTCCATATTTTCTCTTTATTATTTACTCTACATGTGTTCTATTATTCCATTTTCCGAATACCAGTTTTGATCATTTCTCCATATTTTCCCACATTCCTATTAGATCTCCACAATCTTTCTCTTACTTCTTTTTTCCTAAAATACAGAATACTGTATAGCAAGATAGTTCTGTGGGGATGATAATTTTGCAATTTTTCTGGTCAATCAGGTTCGCAATTTTAAATATGATCTGCAGATTAATAGGACAAGCATGAATTGAGCTGTGATGATAAACTTCATAACTAAGGTTGTCATGAAAAAGTGAGCGTATGGTTGTGATGATTCATATACATAAAGAGCAATGATGTTTGAAAATAGGTTATATCACATATCTAATAGTGTTATTGTTGCTCAATATGCTATCATAAAGCCTATTCATTTGATAGTTCGACACTTGATATGCAGAGTGTCAAATAAGCTTCTATGCTGTAACACTGTCAAAAATTTTGTTTCTTCACATACATGTTAACATCGCAAAACTATAATCCATGTAAATTAAATTTTCTAATTTTGTGTCAAAATCACAAAAATTGAAGCCCTTCATAAATAACCGGTTATACAGTAAATGTGGTAATCAGTCTCCAAATACAGTACTCCCATCCATATTTTTTTGAATGATGAAGACAGAGAAAATCTGAGGTACAGAAAGCAAAGTGATTTAATAGCAATTAAGATTGCAAACTCCATTTCAAACAGAGAACACATTGGGCGCCATTAACATTAGAACACTACAATGGTCAGTCCTTAGATATATTGGTTTGAAGATATTTCAACACTCCCAAATGGATATATGACACAACATCTTCAGAAACTTGTAGTGACATTCTGGCGATATCGCCGCAACTGCACCAGAACCTCAGTGAACATTGGTTAACATTGGATTTAATATGCTACAACATCACCAGAAACTGTGGCGATATTGCCAGAAACCTAATTTGTATACAATATCTGAACACAAGGCAATCGTGTGCCAGAGACTGAATATTTCTGGAAGGGTATGAAAAGGGTTGAGGCTCTCCGAGTGGAGCAAAAGAGACAAAGTAGCTAAAGCGGTTCTGCCTTGAAAAATTGTGAATTTATTTATAATCATAACTAGGAGATTAACCAGCATTTATTAAATAATGAATCACTGGATGAAGTATGCCATTAGAAGAGATGGTAGACAATTAATGCCCTAGCATTAACATTTGAATACCAAATATTTGATCATATTAAGGAAGAGAATTCAATGTTCATGCTATCATGGGTAATCCTGTTTTTTTTTAGGGCAACACATATTTTAGTTATTTTATTTTTCGTACGAATAACCGTTACCTACCTTGTAATTTATAAAATTGTAATATTTTTTTTTTTTTGTTTTTTTTTTAAGACATATCATTTTACATAACATGTTTTATAATGGAATCACCTATATAAATTACTAGTGTCAAAACATGTATTGAGTACTATATGAAATTGTTATGTTGTTGTACCTTTTTACCAAATAAACTTGAATTGAATTGAATCATCAAACTTTTCGTTATTAAAGCACATTTTCCACCCTTTATATGAAAATTTTGTTATAGAGTTCATTGAATAAGAATTATATGCCGAAGGGGACAGGGGTACGTACCTATATAAGTTTTTTCAAGAAGAAAAATTATGAACTTTTATATGTACCTGTCACCCTGGTAAAATACTAGCCGCTTCCTTACTGACTCTGATAGAGCGAATCTCTAGCTCATTCAGTAGTAATTAAGCCAGCTAGGTTCCATTGAAAAATAATGACCTCAGAGTGAGTGTTTCATTAATTGGCTCCCATGTAGGGACCTAGGAAATATTAACAAATATGCTCTGCGATACTTTCACAAGAATCGCTATGACCCCTGGAAAAGTTTGGATGATACAACGTTCTTTCCTTGAGGGGGAGTATATGTCACCCTGGTAAAATACTAGCCGCTTCTACTGACTAGGCTTGAGATAATCTCTAGCTTGCTGCAGTAAACTAATACTATACTGTTATCGTGGTTATCATAACAGTGACTATTCTGAAATATGACTCATGAGAATTTCATTCCATAAAAAATATTATTAATAATCTCAAATAAAAAAATAAAATGTGACATGTTACACTGATCCAGATCCAGATGACACATGGCATATTTAGTAAACAAAATAAAAAATGATGAAATGCATGTGGGACGTTATTCTGGTTGCTTAAGTATCAAAGCACGATGAGTAATAGTTAAATTAATGTACAGTACTGTACAGCTCCTGTGACTTTTGATTCACAAATATTATCCACGAACATTTGGTTTTTAGTCAACTAATGATTGAAATATACTTTTGATAGGAAAGACAAAGTATGCTTGAACTTACCTTAGTATTCAGAGGTTCATTGTTTGTCAGATGTTCGACAGTCTGTTACTAATACCGGTATCGTGGATATCATAACAATGAAACGCATCAATGATCGTCGCCATATTGTTTATCGGCTCCTGACAACCAAGATTCATACACTTCAAAACAAAGTAGGTCGTAACTATATTCTAAAAAAATGCGTATATGTGTAAACAACTATCAGATGAAATACACATGAATTATTATGCTGCATTTACTGAAAAGAATTCCGTGTGAACAGCTAACTTTTTTTTCGACGATACCCTTAATTTCATTAATGAGTGAAACGGCTTAGTAACCGAAAGTAACCGGAAGTTGCTGACGCTAAAATCTCGCGCGGTCTATCAAACTAAGTGATAAACGTCAAAAATCATGTGTTCGACTGAACACTCTATTGATGCTTCATGGTAAGACTTTTCACTTTCCAAGTTATTTGTTTTAATCCAATAATACACCCAAACTTATTATGAATATGTTGAAATGCTCTTAAACGCATTATGTCATGATTGTGATTTGGACACAAATATGACTTGTTAGCTAATTGCAAAGTGAAAATAGAACCTATCACTTCTACAGAATGCACTTTACAATTGTATATCATTGTCAGGATTGAAAGATGTCATTCATCAAGTTGCGTCAGTATGTACACGATTCTCTGCAGATTGTAGAAATAAACTGATGGAAAAGAAAATGAAAATGTACTGTGTATATATTTAATTGCACTCGGATGACGTTCCAAATAATTCTTTGACATAATTCATCTTCTGTTAATTAGGCCCTAGTACACCCTAATCATTGGCACTGTTAATAATATTGTTCGTGAATATATTGCAGCATACAAGCTAGCCAGAGTTTTCAAAGGCTCAAAGTAAACAACAGATTTTATTTTACTCTTTCACAGATATATACACATGTATGCAAATGTGCAATGTACAGGTTGATGTCACAACAGATGTCTGTCTGTCAAAATGTCAAAAATTCTGGTGTCAAGGCAAGAGAAAAGTTCCAAATGTACAGCAGAACAGCCAGTCATACAAATGTATAGGTATCTATTTGCTTTTGTGCAGTGCCAGTGTACGATCAGTATTGTTGTAAAATATAAGCCTGATACTTGTGCAGATGTTTCTTGTTGATATCTTTATTGTCAGATTTTTGTTTCAGAATTACTCAACCAAGGTTCTGAAAATAATCAGGATGATATTTTCACGCTGACTTCTTATAACTAATGTCACTCAAATATGAGTGTAATATGATAAGTCTGTGACAGTAAACAAACAACCCGTGTGAGAGTCATGGCTGGACATGTCATACAACCTCTATCCCCGGGAGTGAGGTCTTACCTGAGGACAGGTGTGGCTCTCTGTAGTGTCGCCCAGTGTATGGAGGAGCTTGTCCTAAACTCTGTTGATGCTGGTGCTACATGTGTAGCTGTCCGCATTGATCTATCCTGCTTCAAAATCCAGGTGGTTGACAACGGAACAGGAATGACCAAGGGTCAGCTGGAACTTGTAGGCCAAAGGTAAAAAGTCTATTTATATATCACAATTATTTATCTAACCCAAAGGGTGAGGTGAGCATATCGTGACATACATCTATATGGTGTGGCATCTGTTAAACATTCATTTACAGCTTTCCATTTTGGAATGGATGAAAGAATGCTTACTAAAGCAAGTATTGAGCATCCATAGGCCTAGGGAATAAATGTTTCATGGTTAGAGTTTATTTATCTTTGGGAAAGGAGGGCAGGGGTCTATGGGAAAGTAGCAGTTTGTGGGGTGGGTATACATGTGTGTTAAATCTTTCAAATAGGATAAACAGTGACACAGAGGCTGAGTCTAAGACTAGTTAATTTTCAGCTGGAATGTGGGGC